CCTAATATGTCAATATTTATGCGTTCCATTTCTTTCTTAACAATTTCTAATTTTCCTTCATTCATGGCTCTCACATTCCATGTACCAATCACTAGGGTCTGCTTACAGCTGTTCCTCCTCCCTTGTGTTTCCATACTTGATGGTTCTACCTAGGTTACCCTTTTCATAGGGTAATATTTATAGACACTTAGTCACTGACAAAGAGGGTTAATTTAGTGTCTATGTTGCTTTCCTTCAATATGAATAGATGTAATATAGTTTATATCTCAACATCAAGAAGACAAAGAAACCTCACTACTGGGCCAATAGGTAGCACTATGATATTTGGAGAAAAGATTGAAATTGTCAATAATTGCATCTTACTTAAATCCACAGAAAATATCCTTGGTACCAATAAACAAATCGAAAGATGAATCACACTGGGAAAATTTTCTGTCAAGGACCTTTCCAAAATGCTAAGGATTAATGATACCAGCTTAAAAAATAAGTGGCACCTGATTCAGGCCATGGTCTTTTAAATTACTTGTTATGCATCTAAGAGCTGGACAATGAATAAGGTTGACAGAAGAATAACTGATGCCTTTCAGCTGTAGTGTTGGAAAGGAGTACAGAATATCCCATGGACTGTCCAAAGAATAAACAAGTCTGTCTTGGAGAAAATGCAGCCAAAGGGCTCCTTGGAGGCAAGGATCCTGAAATTTCATTTCATAGACTTTGGACATGTTGCAAGGAGGGCCTATTCCTTGTAAAGGAATACCATGCTTGAAAAATGAAGGGTCAGCTGAGGAGAAGAAGACACTCGATAAAACAGATTGACACAGTGACTGCAGCAGACTCAAGTATGTCAGAGTTGATAAAGATGGCACAGGATAGGACAGTGTTGGTCACAGGGCTGCTAAGAGGCATTCCCGACTCCACCGCACTTAACTACATGTTGTTTTTAGTCTGTTAAGTTGACTCCAACACATAGTGGCCCCATATACTTAACTTTAAAAAAGCACACCTACTGCATATAGCAACCCTCTAGGAGAGTATCCATTAAGGCTGTAAATGTTTACAGAAGCGAACTGCTTCTCCTTTCTAGCAAGAAGCGTCTGGTGCATTTAAGCCATGGACTTTTTAGTTAGAAGTAACATTCTGTTACTACTGTAACACCAGGATCACTAGGCCCAGTCTGAAAGCTTCTTGGAAACCTATCCACCATGTGCAACTATCCTGATATTTGAAATACCAGCAACAAAGCCTCCAGCATCATCGTAACATGTAAACCCCATAATAATGAGGGGGGAAAAACCCAAGAAAAAAACCCCACACCAAAGAACTGACAGTTTATCAGTGGTTAATTCCTTCAAAAGTCCTAGTCTAGCAGCTTAAGAATAGAGAAAAAAAATCAATTAATAAATGTTTCAAATCCTCTCTTCAGCAGTAGGAAAGTAGTCTTCTGTAAAATGTTAATAATCTTTCCTCCAATTCTAGTATTATATTCTTTTTTTATATAATTCAATTTTGATTATTTGCTCAGCATATACACTGAATTATGCAGTAAAATATTATAATCCTGACATACATTTCTGCTTGTTTTTTTAAAAAAATTGATACTAATTTATTTACAAAATTCCAATACAGACCATATAGTTAAATTTCCCCCACTTATCAAAATGTACAGCTCCATGATTAATACGTCCTTCCCTGCACATGCTCATCCCTCTATTTCCACTTTCCCGCCCTAATATCTTCATACTCTTTATACAATAATGGCTTTATACAATATTTGTCCTTGTGAGACTGAGTTAGTTCACTCAGCATAATGTTCTCCAGTCCCTCCCAGGTTAGGAATAATTTGGAAAATCATTGCTCTTGTGTGCTGTGTAATATTCCATTATATGAATGTACCATAATTTCTCAATCCATTCAATTGTTGTTGGACATGTGGGCTATTTCCATGCTCTTGCAATGATGAATAATGCTGCTATGAACATTGGTGTACAAGTCTCTGTGCCTCCGTTTTTATTTTCTCAGGGTGTATTCCCAGCAGCAAAATACTTGGATCTTATTGAATTTCTATGTTCTGCTTTTTGAGGAAGCACCAACTGCCTTCCAGTGTGGTTGTACCATTTTATAATCCCACCCACAATGTATAAGAGTGCCTATCTCCCCACATCCTCTCCAACATTTATTACTTGCTGTCCTGTTAAACTTCGTCACTGTTACTGGAGTGAGATGGTATCTCATTGTGGTTTTGATTTGCATCTCTCTTATTGCCAGTGATTTGGAGCATTTCTTCATGTGTCTGTTTACCATTCAAATATCTTCCTTTTTGAAAATTCTTCCCATGTCTTTTGCCCGTTTTGTAATTGGATTATCAATCTTTTCCCTCTGGAGGCCCAGGAATATTCTGTAAAGTCTTATTATGATTCTCTTGTCAGAGATGGTATTACCAAATGTTTGTTCCCAGTTGGTAAGTTTTCTTTTAAACCCTGTTAGAAAAAGTTTTCTATGAGCACAGGGATTTAATCTTTAGAAAATCCCATTCATGTGCATTTCTGCATTTGGCAGTCTCTTTATACCATATACTAGGGCTTCTAAGCTTGATCCCAGTCTGTACCTTATGAACGTTATGGTTTGGGGCTTTACTCTGAAGTCTCTGATCCACCTTGACTTGATTTTTGTGTATGGTGTGATATGTGGATCCTGTTTCAGCTTTCTGTAGGTGGAAGTCCAGTTTTGCCAGCACCATTTGTTGAAGAGGTTATCATTTCCCCATTTGAAAGCTTTGATTTCCTTGTAAAATATCAGTTGACCATAGATAGCTTGGTCTATTTCTAGGTTCTCAATTCTGTTCCATTGGTCTATGTGCCTGTCATCATACCAGTACTGTCATGAGCCTTAATTAATTATTCATGGACATATTACAAAAGCCAATTACAATTTATTGATTGACTAATTAATTATTTAAATCATAGCAACAACTGCAATTTATCTACATTACAATTCATAAATTCATCACAACATATTGATTCATCAACAGTGGAGAACAGTCACTCACCCCGTGATCCCAACTCATCTCCTTCTTTTGCCTCTCGTGGTCATTGGTGCAGTCAGGGGGTTCTCCACTAGATCAGCGGGGTTTCTCAGCTAGTTCAGCAGTTCAGTGTAGCCAGGGTCCATCTGTTTGGGCAGAATCCTCCACCGTCTCAGTAGCTCATGTTCATCAATGAAGGCCAGAGTTCTTGGTTCTAAAAAGAGCCTTTGGGTCTTCAGTGTTCAGCTTATTGTGAAATGCAGAGAGAGATTTGCTGGGCACAGCCAGAGTTTATCTACTCTGGCTTCCCCGCTTTACAGTATGGTGAGGCAAGTGGGGCATGCTGGGATATGTTGAATAACAATATGAGTTTGACCAATCATGTTCAATACTAATTGTGTTTCCTTCGCAACATGGCCGTCACCAGTCATATCTCCTTACGAAGGGTTCATACATGTTGTGGTCAGTGGGACCCCAAAGCCACTAAGAGTATGTTTTCACAAATATTCTTACATAATTTCTAGGGGAGCTCTGGTGGCCTAGTGGTAAGGAGCTGCAACTACAATCCCAGTGGCGCACAGTTCGAATCCAACCAGATGCTCTGCCAGAGAAGAGGGACAATCTCCTCCTGTACCAGTCAGATCTGATTTGACGGTACACGTACACAAAAATAATAAAATAAAAAATGAAAAAAAAAAACCCACATAATTTCTAACAGCAAATTCCTTATATATTTCTTATCTTATTTCTAACATATAACATGGCAAGTTAACATATTTCTTATTTAATTTCTCTCACATAACATAGCAGATTCCTATAATATTTCTTATTCTTAAATTTACAAGTTATGTTCTCTTAGCAGCATGGGCAGTAACAAGTTACATTCCATTACAGGCAAGTTATTACCAGTTACATTCCCTTATCAAGAGTTTGCACTTCCTGTGGTCAGTGGGGCTCTAGGCCGTAAAGAGGCCTGTTTATGCATGTTAAACTGCTAGTGTATTTTTTCACAAATATTCTTATTTCTGTACTTAAGCATCAAATTCAAAACGTATTTTATAATGTTTTACAGCAAATTAACAACAACTTATTATATCTCATAATATGTGTTATAGCAAAATTAATATCTTTTTCTTATACTTAAACTGCTCATAGCACAGTACTGTGTTGTTTTGGTTACTACCACTATGTAGTAGGTGTTGAGGTCAGAGAAACTATGCCTCCCACCTCATTTTTGTTTCTCAGCGGTATTTTACTTATTCAGGGTCTCTTGCCTCCCCAAATAAATTTGACAATTTCCCTTTTTATCTTCTTGAAAAATATATCTGGATTGGAATTACATTGAACATATAGGATTGTCATTTTCACAATATTAAGTCTTCTTATCCATGAACAGAGCACATTGTTCCATTTCTTTAGGTCTTTTATGGTGTCTTGCAGAAATGCTCAGTAGTTTTCTTTGTATAGGTCTTTTGTCTCTCTAGATAGTATCACTCTCAAGTATCTCAATTCGTGGTTGGCTATTGTAAATGGTATTGCTATTTTAATGTCTTTCTCTGAATTTTCTTCATTACTATAGAGGAATCCTACTGATTTTTCGATATTGATCTTATATCCTGCCACTCTACTAAATTAGCCTACTAAATCTAACAGTTTTGCTGTTTTTAAAATTTGCAGTGCTCACTTTTTCTTCTCCAATAACTGCCTCTTGGACTGTGTATAGGTTTTACAGATGCAAAGTTTCATGTTCTGGAACTCCTATATTTTTGACAGTATTATCTATAATTTATTGTTCCCCACTCAGTAGAAAACCTTTGCATGGTCTATAAAGCACAGGTAAACATTTAATATTTTCTGCTTTCATCCAAGATCCACCAGACATTAGCAATACCTCTCAATCCATTTCCTCTTTTGAGTCAGTCTTAAACCTTGGGCAGTTTTCTGTTGGTGTATTTTTCAAACCATATAAAATTGCCTTCAATAAAATTTTACTTAAATATGTAAAAAAATCATAGTGTTGGTAATATATTAATGATTGTAATAAATTGTAATTGTTCACTTAAAAAATGTCATTGGTTTAGGCACTGGTTTCTAATTAACTAATTTTGAAAACACTTTCTTGTTTTATCTAGACTTCTAGACTTCACTAGTGCAGTTGGCTACGAACATGTAGACTTGGATACCTGCATGCTTTCTGAAACACACAAAGTGGCTCTTGAAGAAGACATCAGAGTTCTTGAAGAAAAGAACATCAAGCTTCTCCCAGGACCTCAGCCTCTACCCAGTCCAGTAAACACAGTCTTCTTTGTTTTGTTAGCTAAGTTTAGGAAGGAAACAAAATCCCACAGCAAAGATCACAGAGAGAGCACTGAGGATGAGGGAGGCAATGGCAACAGCAGAAGTCAGGGCCTAGGGCTGCCCCATGGTTCTCAAGAAGCCTGGGAGAAGGGACCATCTGCTGTGGTGATAAACAAGCCAGGGAAAGCATGGGGACTGTTCCCCAAGCAAACTACAAGATGAGATAGCCCATGGGTAAAAAGCAGAGTCACAAACCACATGTCCTGGTTGCCATACAATAAGTTTTTAATAGTGTTTATCTGTGAAATTAGAAGGATAATTAGTAAAACATGTATGGGGCTACAAAGTGGGGAAGCTGTGGGAGCAGAAGGGTGAAGATGGCTAGGGACTAAACAACACGGTTGCACAGTTTGATGGTTGGTGAGAGAGGGTGAAGAAGTGGGAAAGATCTAGCAGGACCTGAAAAGATTGGGTAATGATGAGTACGTTTCAGTGGCAACTGATTTTATAAAACATAAAGCATGGGAGTGATTGTTTGAAACACAATATGAATGAAGAGTAGTGTGAAATTCAATGTATGGGGGGAAAGACTATTTAAAACTGAAAAAAAATAGTGTTTATCTAAGCACTCCCTCTCACTTTAGATTACAGTCAGACAAACACAAGAATAAGAACTTAATACCCAACTTTGTGCATATTATCATTGCGTGAAAAAAGAAATATTTTTTTCATGCACGTAAAGTCAAATTTGTATGCTTTTTTTTTCTTCCCCAGAACATAACCCCCATCCTCTTTCACAGTAACCCAGGATAACCTGAATAATATTTCCTTATATAACCCAGGAATGTTAACTGTTTTATTTAAGATGTGCAGCTCTTCTCAAAGCGGACCCTCCCCTGGATTTTCAGAGGCAGTAAATTGCATGGGAGGAGATTTCTCCTGCAGAGCAGCTGGTAGATTTGAACCACATGCCTTTGAGTTGGCATCACAGCTCCTTAAGAGTGATCAAGGGAAAAGTTAATACTTAGTTAAGCTAAACTATTGTTTGGTTTTAAGGAGACTTTGACACAGTCTTAGTTTAAGATTTAAAGATTATCTTGGGTAGTAACTTGAAGGTCTGTTAATCAGCCTAATAACATACTTAATACCTCTGCATTGGCTCCTCTGTTGCATAGCGCTTGTGGTCTGCAAAACTTGCTAACAGCCATCCCAAACATTGCAGTTTGTTTTTATTTACCTGGAGCAATGGAGGATGGAGTCAGGAATATGAGGAATAAGTGGAATGTGCAGTTAATTGCCTTTTGGATAGTTGCCATCTTTGTCTTACCAAATATTTTAATGACATAAAATTTTAAAATTTCATTTCATTTTTTTCTTCTTTTGACTCTCACATTACTTTAGTTGAAAGCCTACACTCCAACTGTTTAGCTAATAGCTCAGTTCGTAGAAGCAGAACTTTTCAAATAGGCTCAATGTTTAAGTTTGAAAAATGTTTTCATGGTAGCAATTTCCACTTCTGGGCCAGAAAACTGAGTCTGTGACCACCCTGGACTTGTGCTTTCAGCATGTTGAGAGAACTGGCTCAGTCACCTTCTCAGTCACAGCATCTAAGTGCCCCTGCTACCTGGCCCCCCTAAGAGTGGAACTAGAGTCCGATAGCCTGTGGACACTGCCAGGCTCATGGTGCCCATGGCTGCTCAGCAAGCAGACCACCTTAAAAGCCTGCTCTTGGCCAGCCCAGGAGGCAATAGCAAGGCTTTGCCCCTCAGGCCTGATGAACAATTTGTGGAAGCAACTCTAGGGTCTGAATAAATTTGAGGAAATTTAAATTCAATTAAGATGCAAGATTAAATTTTTATTGCCTTCCAATTGGAAAATTTAACTAAATTAATTAAACTGAAGAAGATGAAATACATGTGGGCAGAACTTGTAGTTGCTGATTGCTTCTTTCTGAGGTGTTTTCCTCAGGAGGCTGAGTGACCCCTGTTTTTCTTTCATGGACAGTGTGCAGAGGACAGAACCTCGGACTTTGTCCCCGGTGCTCACCAGTTTGGCCTGGCACAGGACAGCCATTTCGTATTTCTGTTCAACCAGTCTGCTGTTCGCAAGAGGTGGGTGTTGTTCTGACGTCATTGTGAGATGTCTGACTGCTGGATGAATTTGAGTGGTATCTTCAGCAGCTGGACCTTGTCCAGAAGAAGCTTCAAGTGTCTTTAATAGAGAGGGTTTGACTTATACCCAGATGGCAGCTGTGAGAAGCCAAAGGGCCATGGTTGGTGTGAGGTTTCTGCCATCCTCATCCTTGTTGTTGTTGTTGTTCTCTGCCCGAAACATCATCTCCATCTCTACTTCTTAGCCATCAACAGTCAGCTCAGGGCCATTGACTCTCCAAGATGCCCCTCCTTTGTACTCTTCTTTCTTTGTGCCTCCAAAATATGTTATAAACCCTAACCTTGATATGTATGTCTATAATCCCATTTGGGAATGAGCTTTCTTAATTATGTTAATGAGACAATATCAGTGTAGGGTTTGTTCTCTGATGTTCTTATCTTCACCCCATTTTAATTAAAGCTGGAACAGAAGTGTCCACTTAAATTAGTCTTTCAGAATCCCCAGCTCCTGAGCTCTCATCATTTTGTCTTTTACTTCCATTTTCATTTAAACATTCATTGATCTACTGCAATTATCTACCCAAAGTCTTTTACTCTGCCCCCCAATTTCTGTGCCACACCACATGTCTGCATGATCCCTTCCCTCTGTGTATCCATTATACTGTATTCATTCCCTCAGTGTTTGTCTTTTCAAACAGAATTGTCTCCCCAGTGTGTGTGCACATATACACATAGTTTTTTAAAGAATTGCTATTAGCATCTCTCTGTCCTTTCTTTACCCCCTCATCCTCTCTTGTGCTCATCTGGCCAACCGTCCTCCCACTGCACAGACCTTGGAGTTGCCTCAGCTTTTCATTTAGCTGTCTGAGGTACAAACCTAGAAATTACTTTATTATTTTCCTTCCCTCACTCATCAGATTTAGTCCACCAGTAAAACTTATTACTTTTCCCTTTAGAATATGTCCAGTATTAGTCCTCATTCCCACTACCACCACCTAAAAGCCTCCATCTTGCCTCTGCTGGATTATAGTAACAGCTGCCTGACTGGTCCACCTCCCTTTGCTGTCAGTTTTCCTAATCCAATTCATTCTTTACATATCAGATAGAAGGGTCTTTTAAAGATGTAAGTCAAACCACACCTGTCCCCATATCCTGCTTAAAACCTTCCTTATGACCTCCTACTATACTTAAAAAGAATCCCCTCCATTCGCTAGAACATATCTTTCTTTTCATCATCTCTGTTTGTGCTTTTCTAACCTTCTTCTGATGGAAAAGTTACCGGATACAGCCTTCTCTCCTTCCTTCCACATCTGTGTTCGTTCTCCCAACTGGCCACCACTTGACTGTCACCTATTATTAAAAGGGATGCTTGCCAGTCAACCATTATTCAAGCCAGCCGCAGTATACTCTGTTTTTCTCTAAAGGAGAAGGGATGCTTTTTCTGCTGAGCTTTGTGTGTTTTGTTCTTTCTTGTCGTTTAAATGTGAACTGAAACATCATCTTTCAGAAATGCCTGCCCTGACTACTTAATGTGACCATCAGTTCCCCTCTGCATGACCCAATCTTAACTCTGCCCAGCACTTCTTCTCTTGGATCTATTTTTGGGATTAGTTTTAAAAGAGATGGGCCCTTCCTTTTTTGTCCTCTGCTTATATCCTAGATGTGCTCCTGGCAAATGTTTATATATTTCTTGGATGGATGGATGGATGGATAATGACTTTCTCCTCTCATCTCTTCTTTTATATATAAATGTTGAAACAATTGCTAAGTTCCATTTTGAAAACTGGGGGGAAAGCTAATTCCTTTCTGAATACTGAGCTCTTACTTTCTTCTAGGCTTTTTGTTCAGCTCAGGATACGAACATTTGCCTCCAGTGGTCTGATTTACTACATGGCTCATCAGAATCAAGTTGATTATGCCACACTCCAGCTCTTTGAGGGTCGCCTGCACTTCACATTTGACCTTGGCAAAGGCAGGACAAGAGTCTCACATCCCACACTGCTGAATGATGGCCAGTGGCACACGGTATGTTGTCTGGAGGTTGTAATTTTGTGTTCTGAGTTGTTTTCAATCTTTCCTTTTTCTTTACTCTTTGCTCTGAGTTTGAATGTTAGTTCTATGAAAACAAGGGGTTTAGTTTAGGTTCTTACATCTGTAATTAACAGATGATGCAAAAGAACATCTGTTAATCCTTCCTTGGGTCTCACAACCCTTATGGATGTCCTTCATTTTGCTTTAGGTTAAGACAGAGTACATTAAAAGAAAGGGCTTCATGACTGTTGACAATCGAGAATCTCCAGTGGTGACCTCAGTGGGAGATGGTTTTACTTTGGATGTGGAAGGAAAGTTTTACCTAGGAGGCCTTCCTGCTGAGTACAGGGCCAAGAATATTGGAAATGTAAGTATCTTTTCTGTATTGGGGCACATTTTTCCTTTGGTGTGATTGCGTTTATTTCGTACAAGAAAGTAGTTCTTTATATAACTATGATTAAATCACCTTGTTTGAACTTGGGGCTTAGCTACAATATGCATGGTCTTTCACTCCTTGTCTCCAATTGTGTGTGGTTTTTCCTTAACACTTCACCAGTATTTCTTGCCTATTAGTTAATGAACAGTATTAATTATTCATTAACAAGGAGTATTCATTAATTTTCCAGCCATTAAACTGAAACATGAATGAGGAAAGACTATCAAATTTATAACTTAGAGATTAGTAAATTAAATGATATTAAATTGAGATAATAGGAAAAATGTTTATTGTATTATCACCAAAAAAACTCAAATGGTGAATAAGTCAGAAATTCATGCAAAGTTTTATAGCAATATAACTTCAAGAATAAAAAGATAATATTTTAGTTTGCTTTTACGAGTGAAGTAAACATATAAAGTATAGGACAAATGTGTCTTTGACCTTCTATTATCATCAATACCTTCTACTCTAATGTGGCATTTGGTTCAGATCACCCACAGCATCCCTGCCTGCATTACGGAGGTGAGCATTAACAGCAAACCGCTTGACAAGGACAGCCCAGTGTCTGCCTCTGCAGTAAACAAATGCTACGCAGTAGCCCAGGAAGGAACTTTCTTTGAAGGAAATGGATATGCTGCTCTTGGTATGTATATCAACAATCTAAGTAGAGGCTTTTGAGTTTAGCCAATATTGACCAGATTGTATAGGTCTTAGAATGTGATGGGCAAGGCTGCAGGAGACGGCATACAGATAAACATCTGTTTTTGTCATTTCTTGGCACTTCATGCCACTCACCCCTTGTGCTCTCCAGATTTCAGGACACTTATCAGCCAGAAGGAGTGAGTCCGTGTGCAGAAGACAGACATGCTGCTGACCTCAGCTGTGCTGTCCCCAGGTTACATTAGGCACATTCTCACTAATCAAGTCAGTAATGAAATCTGAAATGACAATTAGTCACATGAAATACTTAGACCAGCAAGGTGAATGCAGGTAGATTTGATGAAGACATCAATTCCAGTTAGATTGTTGAAAATAATCAATTGCTAAGTAGAATATAAATTTTTAAAATATCTTGGAATGTAAGTTTTGGAAGACTTCAAATTGGCCTGTATAATATATTTGGCTAGTCTCTCCTCATTTTAGATGTTTAGTTTGCAGCTTTCCATCCTATACATTTTACAAGGACACTTTCCGTTCCTCCCTGCTTTCTACCACAGATCTGTATTTCTGTGCCTCCGCCGCTCTCTGGCTTCTAGAATTGCCCTGGCTGATAGTTGGGAGGTGGGGGAAGGAGAAAAGCCAGCACACTTCTCCCCTTCACTCTCTACATAGAGGCTCAGGTCTGGACTCAGCTCCCTGTCCGGACCCTGACCCATGTTTCCAACACCGCCCTATGGCTACCAACCTCTGAACTCATTACCTTCTCTGATTTTCCTTCAACACTGGAGATAAAAACACCTGCTATTTCTAACATCCTAAATTTGACTTCTTAGCCTTTTTACTACCTACATAAAAATCTTCTCAATTAAGTGCCCATTTTTGCAAACCCTTTTATGAACTCTGACCAGTACACTGAATAAATGCTATTAACCAGCTTGTCAATACCGGCAAAATTAAATTACCCTCTGGATGTGTGATGAAGGATTTAATTGATCAAATCTTGTTTGGTGTTTGTTATTTGCTTCTTTTTTCCCTCCTAACACTACCTGGGGAAGTCTACAGGAAGTTAGAAATATTTATATGTCAGGGCAGTGTTTGTACCTGTCCACAGTGTAAGCCTATGTGGTGTCAGATTCCTGCCTGGCAATAGTAGAGAGGATATGCCTGTCCTCCATCTAGCCCAGTGTCTCCTGGTGGTCTGCATGTGTCAGGTGTTCAGTAAGAGTTTTGCTTTGTCTTACAGCTACAGAAGTTAAGGTTCCAAGGGTAGACGTGACTTGCTTGTGGTTATGGGGCAAGAACTGTGTCTTCAGGTTTGGAAATGTGCAGCCCACAGCCCTCCTGTGAGCTGAGCCATGGTGGGCTGTACAGGACTTGTCTCTTATTCTGTGCTGCCCTTGTGTTTTTCAGTCAAAGAAGGCTACAAAGTCCGGTCAGATGTAAACATCAGCCTTGAGTTCCGTACGTCCGCACCAAATGGTGTCCTTTTAGGGATCAGCAGTGCCAAAGTGGACGCCATTGGATTAGAGATTGTCAGTGGCAAGGTAGGTGCTTAGTCTCAGCATGGTTCCTCTCTCCCCGAGTCAGAGAGAGAGAGCAAGTGAGAAACAGAAATTCCTAGATCCAATTATCTGCTTTCATGGAGTACATGTTATCTACATAGTTACAGGAAGCTCTGGCGCCCTAGTAGCAAGAAGTTGTACTTCCAACCCAAAGGCTTGCAGTTTGAATTCACCAGTAGAGGAGAAAGATGGGACGTCTCCTCCTGTGAGATTTATAGCCTCTCTAAACCTGCTAGAGGGTCAGGTATGACTCAGCTTTGACTCCGCAACACATAAAACCAACACAGATTAATAGATATGTTGTGCTGTTGTTGTGAAGTGCCAAGTCATCACAGACCCATTGCTGACCCTCCAGAGGGATTTTAGAGTCAGTTAATTACACAGAAGCAAATTGCTACTTTGCTTATCTTTCTTATGCAAAGTAGTTGGTGAATTCGAACCATGTACTTTTGAGTTGCCAGCCCAACTCCTTACCTCTAGGCCCCCAGAGCATCCTAGATGATATAGATTTAGATTATTTATGAATGTATAAATAGAGAAAAATGGGCACTCTCCTCTCGTGTGATTAACTGCCTCTGAAAACCCGCTAGAGGGTTAGCTAGCTGACTCGATGGTCCACAACAATAATTACACGTGTGCGCGCGCACACACACACACAGAGTATAAAGTGGCAAGGATATGAAGGGGATGCCATTTGAGTTAGATGTGAATATGAAGGGGAGGAGAAGAATACAAGTGGTCAGATACGAGAGTTTAGATACTAAACATCTTTTTTTCCCGTGAAGATGACGCATATGTGCTCACTGCAGGTAACTATTTCCCTTTTGGAAATTTTTAGAATAAGGTAGCACCTGATCTTTAAGAGGCCATTTTTTCCAGATGATGGCTTTTCTTCATTTATTTAATAGCTAGAGCTCTTTCTTAATGTAATGCTATAAATTTATTCATCCTGATAGTGCAGTACAGATGTATTATGTGGGAGATTTTGGTTTTTAATCTGGAAAAATTCATCAAGTAAAGATATTTACTTGTATCTTCTGTGTGTGTCTAGCTTTTATTCCATGTTAACAATGGTGCTGGCAGGATAACAGCCACATATGAACCCAGAGCTCCATCTACTCTCTGTGATGGGAAGTGGCACGCTCTTCAGGCTAACAAAAGCAAACACCGTGTGGTTTTGATTGTCGACGGGAATGCTGTTCATGCTGAAAGTCCACACATCCAGTCCACCTCAGCAGACACCAACAATCCCATTTATGTTGGCGGATATCCTGGTACGTAGTAGCCTATTTCTCTGCTCTTTCACTGCTATTGGAGGAGGTCTTAGTTCAGGGGACAGAGAAGCAGATTAAAGGTACATAGTTTGGGTGACAAATTCTGTACAATTACTAAACCGATTTCAAATATCTAAGAATTCTTAGAAAAGTAAAATGACCTACACATATCAATTAATGGGTAGGTAAGAGTATGCAAACATTGTATTTGATTGAAAGTGAGCTTTATGAAGGAAGATAAGTTATCATTTTAGGGAACAAATGTGATTTCTACAAGTTTATATCAGTTTGAGATTGGAATAATGAATTTCAGATTTCCAAGTAATGGGTACAAATAGTAAAAATATAACCATTGTAATGACCTTTATTATAATTATGGCTTTAAATTATTATATACTGAAAATTTCCTATGAATTTCACTATCTCCTGAAGCCAGAAATATGGAAACAAATTCTTATCGTTTTGATGTAGAAACCACTTGACTGTTTTTATCTCTCTTGTGATGCTCATGCTATAGCAAAAAATTAAACAAGACATGCTTTCTCTTCCTTCCTTTCTAAACAGCTGATGTAAAGCAGAACTGCCTGACTAGCCGTACCTCATTCAAGGGCTGTCTGAGAAAGCTCACCCTGACCAAGGGCCCACAGGTGCAATTCTACGACTTCAACAAGGCTTTCTACCTTCAGGGGGTTTCCCCCCATTCTTGCCCTGGGATTGAGCCCTGAACTTTGGGGGGAAACATTTGATTGGGAACCACTGTGTATATTTTGAGGAGAATTACTTTTATGAATTAAAATCCCTTCCATTCAGTTTTCATGTACAACTCAGGTTATATGTTTCCAGAGAGAAATACTGTGCTTATGTTAAATGAAAACCATATGCACAACAAATACCTCTATTAACTAGCTCACTAGCTCAAGAAGTAAATGCAATTGATTTTCTTTTTAAATTTTTTTATTAAACTTTGTAAACATTGCATATTCTACTGACTACTTGACAGTGTTTCATGTTTTGCATTTTGAACTTCTGAAAAATAAAATATCAGGGTGTCCTGTTCTATGATATTTGTATGCCTTGTTGTCTTTACAGTTCGCTGTTTGGTAGCACTACAACACCTACTTGTCAGTTTATTATATTGGGGAATGATTTGCACGTTGCTAATTAAGATGGAAGGAATATACTGAGTCATTGTATCGAAAGGAATTGGCAGATACAGAAGAATTTAATGAAATAGAATTTGAGCCAGAGCCTATGGTGATGAAGGAAGAAGTTCAAGCTGCTTTGAAGGAAATAGCAAAAAATAAGGCCCCCGGAATAGATGGTATACCAGTTGACATATTTCAGCTAACAGATGCTCACCAAGTTGTACCAAGAAATCTGGAGAACAACCACTTGGCCAACTGACTGAAAGAGGTCTATATTTGTTTCCATCCCAAAGAAGGGCGACCCAACTGAGTGTGGAAACTACAGA